CTTCCATGCGTAAAATAATGGAGATACTGGTAAATAACCGTTTGCTTTACTTCATGGAAAACAATGTCTTTTCAGACGTTCATTCAGGCGTTCGGAAAAATAGATCTTGAGCTGATTATTTAGTGCGGCTTGAAACCGAAATTTAAAAGGCACTAAGAAACACTGAACATTTAATGGCTGTTTTCGTGGACATTGAAAAATGCTATGACATGTTGTGAATAGTGAGTTTAGTTTTACGCCGCACTCAGCAATATTCCAGCTATATAGTGGCGGTCTATAAATAATCGGGTCTGGACCAGACAATCCAGGGATCAACAGCATGAACATCGATCTACGTGTTGTGAAGAGAAAGTTTGATCATAAAACTGTGTAAGCTTGGAATTTGTAGACGTATGCTTGGTTGGATAAAATATTCCTTAATGGATAGAAATATCCATATATTTCCAGAACCCAATTAGGTGCAGACTGGAAGAGTTTATTACCGTTATATAATGCCCTCATTAGATCTCGACTTAATTTTGGATGGTAAGCCTATGGATCTACATGTGCAACACAAAAACAAGACTAGATGTTGTCCAGTCAAAAGACCCTACGATTATGTCTTGGAGCGTTCAGAACCGCCTCTGTTGAAGCCTTATAAATTGAATCGGGTGAAATGCCTTTAGATCTCAGACGTGACCTGTAAGAAGTTATGTGAAAGTCGTAATCATTTGGGATGAACACCCTACATTATAATAAGTGTGTTTGAAGATTGTGTTGAGCGTTCAGGCCCCGATTTCTCGAAACAAACTTAAGTCTGAGTTTTGACTTAAGTTAGAGTTTTTACTCAAATTTGAGAAAACGCATTTCCCAGAATGAACTGAAATCGATATTAAATTCAAACATAGTAGATAATTTGAGTTTAGTGAATAGAATACTGAAGTTGTTTGGCTTTTTTTATTTAAAAATGCAGCTGAGTTAAAAATTCAGCTGTTACAAATAGTCAAACTCAGTTTGAAATTTGAGTAAAAACTTAAGTTTGTTTCGAGAAATCGGAGCCAGAACCGCCTCTGTTGAAGCTTTATAAATTGAATCGGGTGAAATGCCTTTAGATCTCAGACGTGACCTGTAAGAAGTTATGTTAAAGTCTACATTATAATAAGTGTGTTTGAAGATTGTGTTGAGTATTTTCAAGATCCTTGGAAAGATGGCTTTGGGCCTTATGGGATGCATTCTCAGAGAACTGCTTTCTATCATACTCTATGTGATGTTGCCATATATGATTGAACTGTTCTGCATAAGACGCCACCATGGCTGCTTGAACTCCCATCAGTTTATGGTGATGTACTGAAACAGGTGAATACATCTGAGCCAGCTCCTCGTGTTAAAGCATTTTACAATTCACTCGATCTGTTTAATGATTTGAGTAACGATCGTTTAGATGTTGAATTTTCTTGGATACCTCCTCATATTGGACCACTTGGAAATGAAATGGCTGATAAATTGGGAAAAGCTGCATTAGACTTTGATGAATCAGAACAGGATGACGATATTGCATTCTCCTGCAGGAGTATGCACGGTCAGTAAAATCTATGCTCAAACAAAACTGCAACAGAGATGGCCACATCCATAAATGGAAGCCATCTTCATGGCATCGAGGACTGCCTCCGTGATGTAGTCCGGATGAAGGTCGCGGGTTCGATCCCCGGCCGCGTCATACCAAAAGACGTTAAAATATGGTACTTGTTGGTCCCTGCCTGGCGCTCGGAATTAATGGGCACAACAAAGACGGCTTTGAGTCAGTATAATGTGTCTGATTGGGGTACTCATGCTTAACTGCGGCATGGTATCTCAGTGAGATGGAACTATAAACCAGCTCATGTCTGGACTAGTACAAGCAGCCACACATACACACGCATGCACGTTGTCATATGAGCGAAATATTCTTAAACACGACGTTAAACTCCGGTTCACCTCACCTCTCAGCAGCTTTATGGCATCGACCCCTTGGTTGCTAAATTACACATACTTCGAAACAGTCGGGAAGAAGAGGTTCTTTTAACCAGACTTCGTCTGGGCATTGTGGTCGTGGTGCATGTCCCAATATTATTAATACATTTATTTCTCCGCATTGTACAGTGTGCAATAGATGACAAGATAATGTGGCTCATTATTTACTGAATTGCCCAAACTATGCAAATCAGTGTAAGGCAAGGGTGGTATCCACTACAGCTCTCAATATTGACCTCTCATCGACTGGACTATTGTGTTGGAGGAATATCGTTCTCCAAGAAGTTTAGAATATATAATTCTTGCTTATATTAAAGTGTGCGGCAGTTTTGTTACTTTATTAAATTAAAGGAATTTGGTAAACGTCAGTGATGGGCAAGCTGTAAATTGGTCTAGTATATAGTTGCCCGAACACTATTAAACCTTTAATGATCAATCAATCAATCATACCGAAATTCTGATTCATATTCAGAAAGAAACAGATCCACAACAGCAATGCCCATTGGGATGCTTACTTCTTGTCTAAATGTTTTACCCCAAATTATATAGATGTTATCAATGGGGAAATCCTGCATTTCACACACCGTTTTGTCTGTAAACTTGAAATTACATTTGTTTTCTTTTTTGACAAATTGTCTTGAACCTTTGAAAATAGATACGTAAGTATATCTTGTTCACCATGTTTATTTACAAATGAACAGTGGATCAAGGAATGACGTTTTGTCCTCAAGTTTGCCATGTGGGATAGTAGTATACAAAGAAGAAGAATGCTTTTTTTGGACAGAAATGAGATGGTCGTTTCTTAGATTGAAAATAGACACGTAAAGACTGGGAGTTTTTGAGAATTAAAATGGTATTAATGCTGCTTGTCTCAAATACACACTGTGAATGTGGAGTCTTTCATTGATTGTATTAAGGATTATAGGGCGAATACCTGCGGCACGTAGACCGTTCCTCACTGTCTTGGCTGAAATCCTTGTAATGTTGTGGCAGTAGAGGAGGCTTTGATAAGTCAATCACGTACGTGACGAGCCCGAATGAACCTGTCCTGCGCAGCAGTTGTGCCACGTGGTCGACCGGATGTTGTTGATCCCTGCGTCTGGTAACGGTCCCATAGTATTGTTTTGGTGCTTGTCGATACATGGAATAACCTGGCTGCCTCTCTGCAGTCGGCCGATGTCGTTGTTTGTGTCGAGCCATGCTTTCACGTTTCACTTTCCACTCGCTGTACAATTGTTATGGCAGACAAATGTAAACCATCGTTTTCATAGGCCAACACTTCATGTTGCATATTCATTTTATTTTGATGTGTTTGGCCGCCACGCTCCTACGTGGTTGCGGTTTGTCATTGTCCCTACGTTTTACTCACTTCAAATTACTCTACTCACTTCAAATTACTCTACTCACTTCAAATGCATGCTGACATTAGAAACTCATTTTTATCACTTAAAATCTGTGACTACCATGAATGGACGCACTGCATTCTGCCTTCTGCCATTTCCCAGCATCCTAACAGCCTCCATGCGTCTTAGAGACCGAATCGCTGGTTGATACGCAAACAGTGGATGACTATCAGTAAATACAACTGATGAGCAGAATAATCAGACTGACAGAAGTAATTATCCATACAGATTTATCGACCTTCTTTCATGGTCCTTAATGGCACCTGTCAATGTGTGTGGCGCTAATGCTCGCTGCACGTACAGATGCGTTTGGTGGTGAGGTTTTCAGACATACACCTACCCTTGCACTTGGAGCCCTCGCACAAAGGAAGATTTTTTCATGTGAAGCAACTGTGCGCTATTTGAACGCAGTTATGCAGCTGTACCATTGTCAGCGTGTCATCAATGTGCAGCAGTTTTAATTGAATTCAGAAAGAGATATATTGACATTGACGTTTAAAACTGGCTTTCGTAATTATTCCAAACTTGAGATGTACAGACAAATTAAGGTACATCATTTGTGCATATTTTTCAGTGTTGTTAAAGTAAAAGCTTATTGGGTTGCATTATGTAAGCTCCGCTGTTCCAACCATGCCCTAATGATTGACCATGGAAGATCGATGCTCATGTTGTTGATCCCTGGATTGTCTGGTCCAGACTCGATTATTTACAGACCGCCGCCATAAAACTGGAATATTGCTGAGTGCGGTGTAAAACTAAACTCACAATTTGGAACCAATGACATTATCTTCATTTACTTTTTACATTATACTATTTTTCTGTATATTTTGAGTCGTTGTGGTAATTCCATAGCTTGGGTACTATGCTATTTCTACTTCTATCTTCCATCCTTGCACCGATGCCATTTGAACCCAAATTTGGAATATCTAATTTAGACCGCATGTGTTTGCCAAGATACTAGGAAAGTGTTACCAGTAAAGCTTGTAGTCATTAGTGAACTTTCCTTTTAGTTACTTCTCTTATAACACATTGTTTTTGATTAGTTACTTTCAATGACTGTATTGTACTACCTCAGCCTCTCTGTGCAAAATGACGAAAATAAGTATAAATTACGGATTACAAAACTGTTCCTGAACAGTTGCAAAACTGTACTGCATTTGTCAAATTATACTAAACTAAACTGAATTACGGAGTAATGAAGCTAAATCCAGTATACTACACTAAAACGAACATGCGGTCCTGGCTCAAAGAGACTGCATTTTCCTTTCATGGCAGCGGGTCTTCGCAATTTGGCAGAAAATATGCCACCATGATGACATTTCATGCTATATTATTCTTGTATACCTCTTTTCTCCGTCCGTGATGTCAACTAAATACTATTTAAAACTGCATTAAAACAGATTTACTCTTTCACTCACTCATTCACAAGTATACAGGCCAGTACGACTCATTTGTACCCAAACTAAATGATCACAGCTGTTTAGACAAACTACGTAGTTTTACATTCTCGATTAAGTTGATGGTTGAATTATTGTCGGATAAAACATTGCGTGTGTAGAGACTGGTGAAGTGTTTCAAGACGTACCTCATCCAAAACAAACCATTAACTTCTGTAGACAGTTTTATTCAACAGCAACGTTAAAAAAGAACAACAATCGGTGCAATATCCTCCAATAATACAGAAGTATCTCTATAATATTACATTCGTCAGCAGCAAAGGTACTAGAAATATCACATTGCGCTTTGATACAAATATTAGAGGATTGTATTTATCTGTTGAGGTTACTCAGAGGTTGATACAGAACAACTGGTAATAAAATTTGCAATTCAATGTTAATCCTCTCAGCTATCATCACTTTCCTTATTGGTATGAGCATAAAAGAGTTAGTTACATGACAGATTAAGTCTATGCTGTCGAGATCGGGGTATCAAAGGAATATAGTATATTACTATATTATACAATCCGAATAAAGAAAGTTTTGTATACAATTGTCTGAAAGTAGAAAGCCACTGCGACACTAAACGCCACCGAAACAAACATCGATAAACATTTGATACCAAATTAATCTGATATATGCTGATGTATTTGTTTATATTCACACACGACACTAATGAAGGAGCTGCAGGGGTGAGTATATAAAGACGTGTGGACAATGAGTTAAGATGTTGTGCTGTATCAAAATAATACGCTATTATCAATACAAATGGAACAGAACTGACATATGATATGAATTTGTTTTCAGATTATTTGAAAATACCATTTAATCAATATATAAATCTCCCTTGTTTACATTGGGAGAGAATGCATATTTTCCAAAACGTATGCAAGTGTCCATAAGCAATTGTACAACGTTTGTTGCTGGTCAAATAGCGAAGCGTAGAAAGGTTATGTGAGTCAGATGCGAGACAAAAATATATTATACTTAAAATACAAGTGTTGAGCATTTTGTCAATATTTACACATTTTAAGGACATACAGGCTTAAGGCACTTACGAATACCTATCTAGATGAAACTATGACGAATGAGTTATTGAAACGGTTTATATTGAGTAACTGGTGTAGGAATTAATTGATGAATAAATTATAAGCAACAACTCATAAATTCACAACCAACATAGTTATAGTCGTACTTTTGCAAACAGTCTCGCTGAATTGTTGCACTTGATTCTGTGTTTGTGATAATAAAAGAAGTACACATTCAAAAGCGATGTGCTATAGTACAGCAAAAGGACAGATGCATATTCATTGTCAACAATTAGACTCAAGCGTAATACGAAATACGTAAACCGTGAAAGTGATGCATAAATAGTACTCATTGCTGCACATAAAACTCACTGGTTCACGATTAGTCCAATAAAACAACTATAATATTGTAAAAACATAAATAGGCTACGAGGGTCGATTGATAGGAACGCTTTTTCTGACAAACATATTTTTATCTTTCCACATTGATACATGTTTGCCAACTGTGTCAATGTTGTCCAAGGCTGCTTTAACGTTATCGTTCAAGACGACATGAAGTCATGATGAAAGAGTCATTGCCTTTTCTCATCTACTCTTATACCTTGATTTTTCACATATATGCCCCTAAAGTGAAGGATGATAGTGATGTGTTTATTGTCTGGCCTTTGCATTATGGAAACTATGATAGTACCCTACGGATCCAAGATTTCCGAGGGACAGTGTCTGTGGTGGTAATATCAAAAGCTTGTACTCAAAGTGGATTGAAACAGCTAACAGTTAGATGGTAAAAGTTTTGGAACCCAATGCACTTTCTTTATTGTCATGTTTTCTTTGAAAATGGAATGTCTCTCTCGTGATAAGTGTCTAGTGAAGTATCAGTTTGACTCTCATCCATTTCCAATCATCGCCTGGTGCTGCTGACGTGACTCACCTTCAGGATGGGGCTGCACACCCAGTCACATGTTACTCTGATGCCCACTTATTTACGGTGGCATAGCAAGAGGCATCTTTCTCTGATGTTGTTCTCATAACCTGAGTTGGGGATTTCAGTCTTAAACCTATTTTAGAGTACTTGATCACTGCACATTTCTCAAGTCTTTCATTTTCCAAAGCCCTCGGATGCCAGACCTAGGCTTCTTCTACTAACTTGTCAAAATGTCTCTAGTTTCAACAAAAGTTGGCAGAATTATATAATTATTTTTCTTTTATGTGAAGTTTGGGACCAATTAATCAACCCTCTTATTTCTGCATTTTCATGATGAAACATTGCAAAGCTAAACAAGTCCACCGGCACACATTTAAAGATAAAACATATGTTTGAACATTTTTCGCTGTGGTTGTAACGTCAACAACAACATAAAATATTAATTAACACAAGTGCGGATTTGACGGTCGAAAAAACAAAAGTGGGTTTTAAGGTGTTTTTATACATGTTTAATAGGAGCCACCAAGTTTGTAAAATATTCTTAAAGTGGCTATTCCCAACGATTGGGACAGTTTTCCACTGATGTTTAATTAGCACTGGTGAAATGCTTGTACTTGTACCTTCTTTTCTTTCTGATCTCTGCATCGTTTTCGCCGGCTTGACGAGCGATATCCGGTTTCGATCGGTTCTCAAACGTGCGTTTGTTCTTGATGTCTTTGGTGACATCATCAATCATAGCGAATGCTTGCTTCAGCTGATTGTCAATCTCTGATACCTCAAGCGCCAGGCAATCTTCGGCCTTCCATTGTTGTCCTGCAAAGGGAGATTATATGTTGTGGTAAGTAAAGTGTGTAGAGTAAAGAGGCGAAGTTCCCCAGTGTACAGAAGTTCATATACTCAACCAGATAAAAAATTACACGTGATAAAATTGAACCCCATAAAGGAAATAGTGTTTGTGGTTGCACGTTCGTGTTGTGTAATAGTACTGTGTAACATACTGCTACTGTCCAGGTAACAATATATACGATGAAAAGTGGATTGCGGCATTGTTTTATTTTATTAATGCATGGTGTTCCATGACCCTTATGAGTGTAATAATTGTACTATGGGGCGCAGCGTTGTCATGTTGATATGTCAGTCGAGAACCATGTAGCTGCATAGGACTTTGGCCAAAAGTTGGTCCCAAAACTGTTTTCCAGTGAGATTCTCCTGAACGGCAATCACTTGATATCAACCGTTGGCACAAAATGCTCCCCAAACCACAAATCTGCCTCTTCCAAATCGGCCAACCTCACGAGCAGAACACCGTGCGTGACGTTCCACTTTCTGCGTACACCCGTATCCCGCCATCGGCAAAGCAAAATGTGAACTGTGGCTCGTAAATGAAGACAATTCTGTCCCACTGCATATGGTTGGATCTGGCATGTCTGCAGACCAATCATTAACGTTGAAACACAATGAAATTGCGTCAGAATAGGTCAGGTGTATGGTCGTGTAGCTCGGATATCTGAGGTGCACAGGCGATTCCTGAGGGTTACTGTACCTCTTAATAAATATCTACTAGTGGAGGTTGGAAAAATCTGCTGTTGTCTGAGATGACGTGACCTGATCTGTATGCCTTTTTGTGTGACGTTACTCTAAGACCTTGGGCGATCTGCTATGATGCCCGTCTGTTACACAATGGTCCTCAGATTGTCCTATGGTCTGATGACTATACCCCAGGGTTCGCTCAGCTGCTGCAAAGGATTCTTCAGCTTTAAACCTACCCATGGAACGTTGCTGATTTGTATGTCCGGTATACCAGTTTTTATACACAAATATAATTGTGACACGTTTTCCTGTCCAGGAATGTATGTGCTTGCATTTTAATGCGCGTTCGATCGCTGAGGCGAACACGTGACTCACTGCATGTGATTGTTATGTGATGTGATTGTAATGTGAATATCAAGTTTCTAATTTTGTACATAAATAATTTCATGTCACAGTTTTAGTCTTCATATTTTATCATACTTCTCAGCATCCCTTAAACAATATCTCACAGCCAATTAACAAAGCACGCTTACGACATACATGTGCAGTGCTTAACACAATAGCCTCAGCCCTTCCCCAGCCTGGCCCTTTGGCTCTATAGTCAGCTTGGGCACTCAGCTGAGCTGCCTACTGGACACCTAAGAAGGGCTGTTGTCACTTCCCATTCGTTCGTGAGAAGGAAAACATATCTAGTCCATTATCTAGGATTTCGCTTTGAATACAGCTTTTGGGTTGTATTCCGAGATAAGTTTTAGTATTGTATTGGATATTGTTCATGCAGTATTATTTGGAAATAGCTTGTAGTTGTATCAGAGTGTGTTAGTGTAGGTAATCATATTGTTTTAAATAACCAAATATGTAGTCTAAAATCATTATGATGTGGATACGCATTAAACTAAGGAGTAATATTAGTAATTTGATGATTGTAGTTGAACCCATTTGTTATATAAGAGTGAGTGAGTGAGTTTAGTTTTACGCCGCACTCAGCAATATTCCAGCTATATGGCGGCGGTCTGTAAATAATCGAGTCTGGACCAGACAATCCAGTGATCAACAGCATGAGCATCGATCTGCGCAATTGGGAACCGATGACTGTTATATAAGAGGCAAGGCTAAGCATGCATACATGTGATGAATGAATTTACATAAGCATGAATGGTAATCATAAAAAGGTTAATGAAAATAAGCATGAATGATGGAATGAGGTCTTATTTGACATTCTTTCATCTTGCTCAGCTACAGCTATACTAGTATTTGTATGTATGATACATGTATTAGTGCTGAGCTTTGTAATTGCCCTTTATTAACATGTCTGTACATATTGTTATTTTCTCTGCAGACGACACATAAGGTTTGATACACCCAGGCCCACACACCTCGTAAGTTAATATGTCGGGTTTTTTAGTGTTTATATGTCATGTATTCATTTGTACTGATGGGTTTGATCATTTATATCAACTTAAAGACATTTAATACATACTAATTACTTACTGCAGCAACTACTGTGTATGGTATCAGTATGTGTTCTAATTGTATGTTTACATCTGTGGAATTCGAATTTCGAATATGTGAATGTTGCTTGTTTTTCACTTCTCCACATCTGAAAATATACCATCGGTCATTGACAAACACGGTACCTAACGTTTGTTGTCTGTATGTGGCTGACACAGTCCTGCTACAATATTATAACTGACCTTGATTGTAATATGGAGCAGTTGGTTTTAGGGACGCCGGATTTGGAGGAGGAGCACTAGTGAAGGGTTGATTCTGAGGGGGAGATACATCTTGGTCATCGTATCCACCATTCTGAACTGCCAACATTTCCCGTCGCTTACGACGTTTCTCTCTCTGGAAGTAGCGCCGTATTCGGCTGCAGCAGTAGATGACACCACAACCACCTAAAACCACAGACCCAACTTGATTAGACTTTCTTATCACGATAGAATTACGCTTACTTGTCACACTGTATGAACGCTGAAATCCATTCACGTCTTTAGACTGGTCCTGCACAAGGCAAGTACCGAATAATAACTATTAGTTCCCACAAATTGACACGGTAGTCAGTCCGTAAAAGAACTAGGTGTGAAAGGAACAAATAAAATAAAAAAGCAGTGTGATGAAATTAACAAATGTATTCTAAAATTAACTAAGTTCACAAATAAAAAACCCCAAAACACTACAAGAGTATCACCTTGACAGAACACAACAGATTGGCAGTACAGATTCAAAGGTATTGTAATACAAGATCAATGATTACAGCAATAAAGGCAACGGTAATATTCATCTCACAACAACAGTGATCTGGTTTGGAAGAAAGGGCTAAACAGAGAGTATCCAATATATAATGATCATCACATACAATGTCGGTCTCCTTGTGGCTTGAGATGTGACTAATGTGAGATGAGAGCAAGGGTTACCTCCATTTCCTCTGGTATTGTACCATCATGTTTCTTTTCAGCTGTGGTCAAACCGTTCTGAATAAGCTAGCACTTGATTATCAGCAGAGTTGTATAACATATGTTATATTTGGGATCACACTTTCTTTGTAAAGTACGGATTCTAGTTCTTTGTTGGGTTGTGTCTTATCTGGGATTCAGAGTCAGGCACCTAATCGCCAGCACAGAAAGTCTAACCCGCTCAGCCACCGCAGCTTTGTGTGGAAGCCGAGGAGGTCACAGTGAGAGAACGGTGAAAAAGAAATTCACAGTCAATAACGTGTATGTCCACCATGAGCATTCATGCATGCTTGACACCTGCGCCTCATAGAGCCAATCAATTGTCGCAAGACGTCTTCTGGAATGGTACTGCATATCTGTGGAAGCACCGGGTGGAGTTTCTGAGGCGTAACTGGGAATTTGTCCAAAGTCTCAATCTCCTCTCCTTTTCGTCCCAGACGTGTTCGACAGATGCAAGGATGTAACGGGCCAGGCTAGAACGTTAACATTGCGCCAAGAACTGCTGAACCACCATGGCGACATGGGGTCTGAGGTTGTCCTGCTGGAAGATCATTCCTGGACCATTCTGCTGGACAAGCGGTATGGCGACTGGATTGACAAATTTGGTATCTCTACCTGTACCTGTATCCCGTTAAATTTCCATTGATGACAAGCAAAGGTGTACGTCCAGCACTCGTCATCCGGCCCCAAACCATCACTCCACGCTGCCAAAACGGTCGGCGTCAACAGTTCCTAACATAACGCTCACCACGTCGCCGGTAAACGCGGGTTTGGCCATCAGCGCGGTGCAAGAGGAATCCGGACTCGTCAGTGAAGAGAACATGTCCCCACTCACGTGCTCTCCACCACAGATGTTGTCTGCACCAGTGCAGTCGTAGAAGGTGGTGACGTAATGTCAAAACTTATCGTCTGGCAGTACGTCTAACACGTCCCGTGTGCAGCCAGACGCCGGCGAATGGTCTTTGGCGATATCCTGTTGACACCAGGAACCGTTCGGGCTTTCAGTTTGGCTGGTTTGAATCTTTGGCACAGATGTGTGGTTCGAATTCAACGATCGTTGCGTGGCATGGTTACAGGTAGACGGCCACTTCGGGGACGGTCTGCAACGACGGCGTTTTGTTGATATCGTTTCCACAAGCGGCATATGGTGATCCTATGCACGTTAAACTGCTGTGCAACGTTGCGCTGGAGTGTTCCGGTTTCAAGCATTTCTTTCATTTTCAGTTAGCCGTGGCATATTCTTCCAAATTTGTGTTTTTCGGACCCATCGACGTCTAAATATTTGGGTGACAATGATTCGAGGTTTAGAGCCACACTTTATGCCTTTTTTCCACGGACTTCTTGAAAGCACGAAAAACCGAAAAACGAATGCAAAACAAAAACTACCGACAGGGTCCTGTTTGGGTTATGGATTAAGTGTATTATAAAGAATATCAAAATGCGTTATAAACATTTTCTCATTTATGTAAACCAATGTGTTGATCACACTAACTTATGCCTATGAGTATACTATTTCAAAAGATTTACGGAGATGTTTGACAAAACCTCCTTGCAATATACATGATTTTAATGTTAAGATACTCAAAAATGTTTTAATGTTAGATACTCCAAAAACTATGAAACTGCGTTTTGTAGTTCATATGTGACTGAAGTGGAAGATTAATTCCATATTACATTAGGATGTCCTCTTTACAATGAGTACCGTGTTTGATATTTACTTGAATACTATCGTAATTACTCTCATGTTCAAATGTTCATCAAATTCATGAGAACAAGTGATACGAGAATAGACTCTTAAGACTTTGTATCCTTCTTAAAGAAGTGTAAGTACTTTGATCGAAACAAAAAATCTTTGTCAACACATAATCATATCTATTGATATAAGATCTATATTCTCAGTGTGGCCCATATACATGTGTTTTTCAAAGTATTTTACACATGTTGTACTGTTCATGGTCATCTCTACGTAATAAATGATGATGATATGTTTAAACATTCCATACACCAGCACACTGCAGATTACAGCTGGTAACTCTTCAGAATCTCCCCTACATCAGCGCAGAGCAGGTCATGTATAGCAATTTTTCTTTTACAGCAGCATAAAACAGGTCACAATTAGTATAGTATCAAATACCTAACATATGATGCAGGTCCTGAAAGGATGCTGTTAGTTACCTACCATACACCAACACAATACAGGGAAGGACCAGGTACATAGCCTTGTTGTGGTCATCGGCAAAGAACCGCTCCAACTCGCTGCCATATGTTTTTTCAGTGGTGGTCAGCTCAGCTAAGGTTGTGGTGGGATCGGTGGCCATTGTCGCACTCTGTGTAGATGTGTTTTGCGCAAGAACAGATCCTACCAGCAGCAAAGCGTAGCCTTGGGGGTAAAGATAACAGAGAGTTAGTGGGGTTCAACACCGTCGAACAGTATTACAGTTTGTCTGCTTAATGTGCTGGAATAAAATAGAAAGGATACAGATCTGGATAGCTACAATACCGACTGTCATTTAAAAAAAACTTTCTTCACATGACGTTTCGGAAGTTCACCATGAAAACAAAATTATAAAATTTCAAATACAAAAGGTCAGCCAAAGGAAAGCAGTTCAGTTTATAAAGGTTAATACTTTCGCTCATTACCCATTGATCTATCTATCCTGTTTTTGCTATATCTGGTAATGCCACTGTTGCAATATTCTGGAACAAATTGCTTGGTTCATTTTTCCCATACTCACTGTTGCAATACCCATGAACGCATTGTCTAAATGTGTTCTTTCACACCCACTGTTCTATGGAAAGCATTGCCTCAACATTTTCTCCCACACACTTTTATGTATTACCATGGAACGCATCTTTTAAACATGTTCTCCCACACCAACTGTTGCAATACCATGGAACCATGGTATAATCTTAGTCTCCTGCACCCATTGTTGTAATACTATGGAACGTTTTGTCTAACATCATCCTGGTACACCCATTGTTGTTGCAACCGAATGGAAAGCATCATCTTGAACAATTTTCCCACAACGATGGGCGCAATACTTCAACTCTTTCGTCTGCTGACTATTAACAGAATCTAAGTTGTATGAAACTAAGTCAATGAATTGATATTAGTGTAAACGTAAAAACTAAACAAAGTAGCAACCGGTTACTCTTCACATTTTTGCTGAGCTACTAACTGCAATAGCTTCTTTTTAATGGTGAAAATATTTCTCTGATCTTGCAAAAGGTCAGCTCCAGCTCTGATGTCACAAGGATCTATGGCCAATCTTTTCTAAATTTGGCTCCTTTTGGGGAAAATAATGGCATTTTTCTGAAAGGAAAAAGCTTGAAAATGACTTTCATGTTACAGGGAAATTAATTACGATGGCTTTAAAATGTTGACTGACAATTGCTGTCCCAAACAAATTACACCTTTAGCCAAGCACATCAGTGAGAAATGATGACAAAATTTAACCTGCCATACCCAGAAAACTCAGTTTCTGTTCATTAGAATTTAAAGAAGCTCGAAAAGTCCATCTAGAATCACAACGAGTTGAGAACCTGCCAATACCCGTTCATTAGATCAACCTTGCTCATGGACTTGGATGGTGGGTTCTGTCAGTGCTGTCATCAGTTCTAGATATTGGGTAAGAGTTAGTTTTAGAAACAGTATTCACCCATTTTAAGTCTTTATAGCATATGTAACTAACATCAGGATACAGCACAAGAATGCAAGGTTAACAAGACTAAAACTTAAGTACTCCTGAACAGACTCCATCACAGCAAACACAATAATTATATGCCTTCATCCCAATCTTTCTCAACCTCAAAACAGTATGTCTTTATCATATTTTTAAGAGTGTTGTTAAACGTCTCTAAAGCTCACTGATATTCAGAATGGTATGCCCAAGGCCTAACCTGAGTTATGCCTAGACGATACTGTGCCTTTTGGAAAACAAATTACATGAAATTATTGCCCTGATCAGCAAAAAAGCAAACCAAGTGAAGAACTTTCTACCATAGCCTGGGCAGTAACCTGAGACGTTTTCAGTAAAGAAAAAGTGCTGAAAATGTGTGGATGCACAAAATGCATTGATTACCTGACCTTACTGTAGGCAAAAGACCAACAAAATTAATGACGACCCTGCCGACAAGTTCTTCAAAAGCTGGAATAGGTTTGCCAAACATTCAGAGGTTGGGTGGCTTCATCTTTTCTGATCAGGTTTGCCGAAAACATTCATAGGTTGCAGGTTTTGAAAAGTATCATCAAAACTCTGCATCATACTGCACATCAGGTCACTTTAAAAGAAATAGGACCGAATTTTGTCACAATTATCTTTAGTTACTGAGAATTTTGTAAAAAGACTGTGACTTTACAGTCACAGAAAAGCATTATGAAATTCTAGTATCATCAAAACTCGTTGAAGCAAATAAAGTAGTAAGACAAAAATAAACTTCCAATAAGGTATTTGCAATTTTCGTTTAAGTCTCCCTGAGTTGTTGTCAAGTTTGTAATATTTGGCAAGTTCAAACTGTTGGAGAATAAGAGACATCTGTGATGTTTCTGCAAGACAACGCTTGTCCCAATTCAGCTAACGCCTAAGGCTGATTGTGGGACTGACGTAAACGTCTCAATTTCATACCAAGCATGTTTATTTAGGGTTACTTTTATAACTTTTCAAATAACTTTTCCTGCAACTTTATGTTATGCACAGTTACTTTTTCACTTTATTCAGATATCGATATAGTTTCAGATTACAAACTCAATGTCGAGTCAACTCTGTGTGTGTCTCTCTCTCTCTCTCTCTCTCTCTCTCTCTCTCTCTCTCTCTCTCTCTCTCTCTCTCTCTCTCTCTCTCTCTCTCTCTCTCTCTCTCTCTCTCTCTCTCTCTCACTCTCTCTGTGTGTGCTTGTACACTTCGGTAAATATTTCAGATGTAATAAGAAAATGTTTGATGAGGAGGAAAATATTTCTCTGGTCATCAGAGGATGTTGAGTTCCCATGGATATGTCCTTCATTACCACTTATACTTATCGAACTTTTTCGAATATTGTCCAGCTGCAATCTACTTTTAAACTGTATTCCAACTATAGTCTACCAAAAAGCCTTCTTAAACCTTTTTCTAAGATGCCTAGCGGTTAGAACAATGGAAAAACACCCACATTATCAGACAATAAAGGTATAGTTTTTTGATGACGTAACAATTGAATGACGTTATCCCGTCATTGCGCCATTCTAGTGTGCCCCCTCGTAATCGAACCATTTTACATTACGTCACAATGTAAGCGACGTCACGATGCATGTCAGTTGTCATCGCCTCGTACGGCCCTCTACAGTAAACTACTCCGTTACATCCCGTTTCTTGGTTTGCAGTTGCTTCACGCAGCTAACATCACTGGTGGAAACATTACGTTTATGTTTTACGACGGATTAAATGTGTCAATCCGACTCACAAGTTTTTAGCGACACGGTAACGTTCGCAATGTTTACATTCCCACAATGCAATCGTGGAATGTCGCTTGACTACTCAGCTTCATCTGGATTCACATTCGTCACCACTCGCCCCTTTCCGTAACCTGCAAGAAGACTCGTCCCCCTTTTCGATGCTTGTTATGTGCGAAAATACGACAAACCAATCAGAACGCGCGTAAATGACTGCGGTGCTTTGGTAAAAATAATCCCGAGTACTTAAATCGTTTATGGCATTATGTCATTGTTTAAAAAATCATGAAAAATATATTTCGTCATATTGAAAGTACAAAGAACTTAGCTAACACAATTTTGCTGCCTATTATGGTGTTTTTGATAAGAATCATGCGATTGACGGCGAGAGATTCAAATACACGCACGTGCGTTTGTTGACATAACGGCTCTCATGGGTCCAACTGAGGGTGTTTCTGACGATCTTGCGGGCTTGCTATGGACATTGTACGTGCGCTTCCAACAATTTTAGGAAATGTAATTATAAATCGCTACGAGTTTCAAAACAATAATATTATATCTGTATGTAACTAATCAACTGTAATCTTTAACATTGGGCATATATTTCAATTCTCTGAGAAAATTTTAGTCTGACCTTCATATATTTTTCAGCGAATTCAGTTAAAAGTCCACTTGTGGTATGACAGCAAGGTTACACGTATGTTCAGTTTGAGAAATGTTATAAAGTCATTTTTTGAGTTTCTGCTTTGGGATTTAATGTAGCGGGGTTTTTTTTACAAATTGTATTTGCATATTCGATTAAACAAATCCCATTTGTGTTTATTAAACCCTTTTCAGAAATATAATTGGAAATATAAGGGGAATATCTGGTAATAATTACGTCAGAATATGTCTTTAACAAATATGTTGTTGTTGTACCAAGGAGGTTTAATTGTTTAGAATAAATAGCAAAAAACAAAAACAGCAATACAATGTATGAGTACTTCGGTGATATTAAGTACCATTGGAATCAAACAGGAGTAGAGTTATCGTTCCTGTTTGAAGTAGTTCTGACATTCCTACGCCAATATGAAATCCTTCCAGAGGGGCACGAGTCGCTATTCGGCTTGTCCCGGAATAACACGAGTTGGTCACGAATGCTGGATGCACTGATCTAAACTTATTATTATTATTATTATTATAGGATATTTATATAGCGCACATATCCACGCACTAGTGCATGCTCAAGGCGCTGGTATTTTTTCCCTCGATCATTGGATGTCAATCTCAACGGCACATCGCATTATCAATCTCAACTCCCTGGGGAGTATACAACTCTTGCAGCCACTAGGCGCACCGAGTTATTGTGACTTTCTCATCCTAACGAGGTACCCATTCACAGCTGGGTGGACTGGGACACATAGTCACAGTACTTTGTCCATGTTCACTGCACGTTGCTGTACCCGCAACTAGGTGTTTGCACGTATTCATGTGGCCACCATCTGGTCAAATACCAACGGATTCGTGGGTTCTTTTAAGTGCACAGGGTTGTGTACTGTACACTAGGGGTTGTGACAACACTGAAAGAGTCTGCACACAAAGTTGACTCCAAGGTTTTTTACACCCGGTCACGGGTGGGCTCGATCCCGACACCTCAGCCTCACTGGATCACTAGCCTGGCGCCTTAGCCAGCTCGCCCACCGCGCCCCATTACGTTGGTAGTAGAAATGCGACGTTCATATTGCCCCATATGGTTTACGTTAATGACAGATGTAATTAAAATAATTCAGATAAAAAATATTTAATCCGAGCGTAAACCGTCATCAAACTGTTATCATTTGTTTTTTTCCGGTAACACTCGTATTAACGTAGGGGGGGAAGACACATCAATAGAACAGCGCGCCAGTTAGCCCTGTGCGAGGATTCCTAATTTAGGTCACCGACACCGTCGTTTGTTTTCTGCCTTAAATTAATCG